TGAAGCTAAACAAGTAACAGGTTATGCAGAAAATTATGCAAAAGAATAAAAGTTGTAGTGATCTGCAGATGCTAGAAAAGAGAAGAAAAGGCTTCAATCAGATGTATTTTTTTACCAGTACCAAGCACTCATAAACTCTCTGAGAAATAAATCATATATGTCTGTGGCCTTCTGGATCTGAGATTACCATGATAAATAGGGAAAAAATTTAATATTCCCATGGAAAAAGAAGGGGAAAATATTTGGACAACCATTATCTTCCTTTTGGTATTGTCTTGGTTTGAAAGACAGGTGTTTTGCCAATAAAGGCAGGGACCCCCCTTTGGAGTGGTGGATATGACCCCCCCTTCCCTCTGATTTATTATAGCTTTGGGGAAAAAAAAAATCACGGGCTTCCCGGCAAGAATATGGGGGAAAGGGAATAACAGTTTTATTAATATGTATAACAAAGTGAAAATAAGTAATAACAACAATAGCAGCAACCAGCCCAGCCACAAACCCAGTGACAGCCTCACACAGAGATGCTCACCTGATTCCCCGGTGACTGCAGGAGYRCYGTGGCGCAGTTCCCGGCTGGCTCAGATTKAGGCAGAAGATCACAGTGCAGCAAAACAGGAACCAAAGAGCAGCCGAGCTCTGCTCCACAGGTAGCAGGCCAACTCCCCTCTGAGCCAAGCAGGGCAGCATATATAGTTACCCGCYACCACCACACCCACACCCACCCCCTCCCAGTACTTAGCAAGGTCGTTTGGGTGGGGTGTAGGTCCTATTGTCTTTACTAATCGCCCTGCCATCAAAAGGATGACCTGGCAATCAGTGTATCCCAGCAACAAAAATGGGAAAGAAAAATTCCCACGAAAGGAAACAAAAGAAGATCTCATAAGCCACAACAGGTATTTACCAGGAAATTCTGGTAAACAACAGTCTATCAAAGCATTACAGTCATGAGAAAAAAATAACTGATTATTAAGGGAATGGTCAAGTAATCAGTATAGAAAGGAAAAGATTAATCTATTCTGACTAAGGAGGTGCTCATGTTAGAAATAAAAAGAGACAAAAATTTGGACACAGATAGTTATTTTACACAGGGGACCTAAACAAACAAATGGAAGAGCCTGACCAACCAGGAACGTAATGGCATTGATAGCAAAAACATGAAGGGATAACAAGTATTAAAGGTACACACTTGCCAGGAAAGAACGAAACAGAGATAGATGTGGTATGTAGCAGATGTGAGAGACTTTGACAATAATGTTGTTTATTCTTTCTTTATCCGCTGTTTGTATGAATTCATCTYGAGGATGGGTTGGAAAACAGTTTAGTCACAGAAAGATTGGGAAATTATATTGAAATGCACATTGAAACAATATGACTCTCTTATATATTAGGACAAAATTATTTACTTTTATATATATAGATGTCTACCTCTTGACTAGGTCTTTTAATTCCCACAGGCAATACAAAGTCTTACTAATCCACTTGTATTAATAACTCAGCTGAGTACAGAGATTTGTATCTAGATTTATCTAAGTTGGCATCTTCTGTGGAATGGTTGTGTAAATGAAAAGTCTTGCCCAGCACAGCTCCAGAAGCACATGTGTCTTGTGTTACCCATGTGTCATGTCTAGCACACATGAATGTCTTGGACTCTCTAGAACATCTCACATGGAACTGAGTTAAACTCTTTAGCTGCTTAGCTGCATGAATCACTGCACATCATTAATTGTCTTCACTGTGACTCTTAGTAGAACTTCAGTTTGCATTTGGACACTCAAATGTAGATACGCTCAGCTCAGACTGAATCCCATCCATCCAATCAAATATACATATAAATATAATATTTGGATGGATGAATTTGGATATAATAATATTAGATTACTGCCAGAAATTGTATAATGTGTTACACTTGTAAATGAAGACTAAAAACCAAGTGCTAATAATAATGAGGCACAACTCAGTGGGTAATTAACACATTTTATTAGAAAATACTAGATAAAAGGGAGACAATGATGTTTTAGATTTTTTAAATCTACAAGAACATTGCAGAAAAGCCCATCAAAAAATTGTCAGATCAAGTGCTCATGAATTCATCCACTTAAAATTAAACATGTATATATTGCCTAAGCTTTAAGTAAAGACAGAAACAATAAAATGCAGGACAAAGGAAAAAATAGCTGATGTCAGCAAGTGCTTGGAAGAAGAAATGTCAGTAACAAAATCGTAAGGAAAACTCAAAGCGTGGGATATGYTTAAAATGAGGAAATAGGTAATCCGTATCTTAGGATTCTGAAAGAACTGGCCTGTCACATCACTGATCCGATAGCAAGTGGTTGTAATAAACATGTGCACATTGTGTGCACTGAAGAAAAGCACTTCTTTTTTTCAGTTTTAAGCTAAAGAGAGGAATAGCTGTTGCAAAATGAAACTGAAATATGGATATATTTAAAGGGGCTCATGGTGGGCAAACCTGTTAACACTGTTGTAAAGCAATAGATTTGTTGTCACAATAAATATAGTAATCTTGTTCACTCTGACCTCTGATAAAGATATCATGTCACATGGGAAGTGACTGATTAATTGGCGAAAATGAAAATGAGTAGATTTGTTACAGGAGTAAAGAGCTGGCAAATGGAACATGATAGCGTTGATTAGTGAAGGAGTCTGCTGGGAGAGTACAAGAAGAGATCTTACAGAACCAGGTTTAGGATGAATCTTAATGTTTAATGTATGACCTTGATACACAAAGTAGCATTAGATTGTGATATCTCTTTCTGAAACCAATTATATAATATAATTGGGATCTGGATGAGGTTTAGAAAAAGAAATACAGTGAAGACTAGATTAATAAAAATGGGAATAAAATTTAATAGTATAGACCAAAGGATTTATAAAACCATAAAGAAATTATGTTATGAATTGAGGATACAACTTCAGAGGAGCTTTTAGATCTTCTATCTGATGCTTGGTTGACTCTGAACCATCATTRTGCAGCTGTGCAAAAGAAAAATGCAATGCTAAAATTTATACAGGTAAAGAAGTATCACATTGTTCAAAGCAGTGAGATAGATTTTGGAGTACTGCATAATGTAGGCCAGTTCTGTTCTCCAGCTSTAAAGAGGTTGAGCTCCAGCCTGCTGTACAAAGAGGTTATTAGGATGATTAGATGAAAGGACAGCCTGCTGTGTGAAAGATAATTTTTGCAGGTTTAGCTTAATCAGTCCAGAAAAATGAATGTGGAAAAAAGATGCTCATGTCCTCAGTCTATGTGTGCTGGGGACAAACACCAGGGGGGAAGAAGAACAGTTATCTTAAAACACATTTAAGAACAAGAACAGATACAAACTGACCTTGAAAATCATGGAATCATAGAATGGTTTGGGGACCCTTACACAAGATTGGCTTGCTCAGAGTCCCAGCCAACCTTGAACACTTCCAGGGATGGGGCATACACAACTTATTTGGGCAACCTGTGTCTGTGCCTCGTCACCCTCACAGTAAAGAATTTCTTCCTAACATCTAATATAAACCTGCCCTCTTTCAGTTTCAAGTCATTCCCACTTGTCCTGTCATTACATACCTTGCATAAAAAGTCCCTCTCCAGCTCYCTTGTAGGACCCTTCAAGTACTGGAAGATGCTATAAGGTGCTAGAAGGTCTCCCCAGAGCCTTGTCTTGTCCAGGCTGAACAATGCCAACTGTCTCAGCCCGTCTTCAGAGGACAGGTGCCCTGTGATTTTTGTGACCCTTCTCATGTCCACACCCTTATCTTGGGAGCCCCAGAGTTGGATGCAGTACTCCAGATGGTCTTAAGAGAGCAGAGCAGAGGAGGGAAATGACCTCCCTCAACCTACTGGCCCCACTTCTGATGCAGCCCAGGACATGGTTTGCTTTCTGGACTGCAAGCCATATTGCCAGATCATGCCAAATTTTTCATCTACCAACACCCCCACATCCTCTTCTCAAGACTGCTCTGAAGCCATTCTCTGGAAAGGGTACACGTTCTCCCTAGACTTCCTATTATCATTAATGTACATTTAGAAGCTTTTCTTGTTGCCCTTGACATCTCTGGCCAGGTTTAATTATGTCAGGACTGTAGCTTTCCTAAACTAATCTCTGACTGTTCAAACAATCCCTATATTCTTCCCAGGCTATCAGTCTATGTCTCTACCTTCTCTAGGCTTCCTTTTTGTGTATGAGTTTGTTCAAGGGCTCCTTGTTCATCCATGCACGCCTCCTGGCATGTTTGCCCAGATGCCTCTTTGTTCTAATGCTTTGTTCCTGAGTTTGGARGAGGTAACCCTACATTAGAACCTTCTATAAGAATGTCTCTAAGGGGTAAATGGACCAAATTATGAATGGGATTATGAAAAATTTCCTGTGTTAGAAATAGAGAAGGACCTGCTTGGTTGTGTGTTTTACTTCCATTACACAGCAAARATTTGGCCAGTGCCAGTAACCAAAAATCGACTTTAATGCTGTTATTCATTCCAGTYGTAGACAAGGTGGGTGACTGCACACCTAAGACAGTCTCCCCACAAAGTACTGCTTTCTAGCCAAGTCGGTATGAGTTACCTTTGACATCCTATGTGCCTCTTCAACCAGGCCAGCARCTCTCTCAGCAAATGGATGTGCTGGTAATATGTGAAATCTACTTCCAACTAAAGAGGAGCTATCAGAGGGAATTTTGTTTAGAACAAARGAGCAATTCTGACTGATCACTACAAGGTGACTTTGCTAAGTCCTCTGCCAAGGACTAGCACTGTGGAAAACTGTACCTGTGTCATTTTAACACAATTGAAATGTGTAGTGCATAGCTGATAAWTGTGGCATATGGTTAATTGCTTTTGTCTCTGCAGTGTGCCAGCCAGAACCATGAAAACAAAAAATGCACAGGAACCAAAGAGAACGGCAAACATGATGCTTAAAGAATGACTTGGTGATGACATCTTTATACAGAATGGAAATAGTTGTTAAACATTGTTTTATTTACCATAACCACAGGCTTCCTTAAAGGATGTTCTTAAACATCTGGAAGAAGAGAAAAACAGTCTCCAGAATCAGCTAAAGGACTATGAACTTAGACTGGAACAAGAAGCAAAGGTTTGTAATAACTCTATCCTCTAATCTGTAAAAGCTGTTACATTGTGCAACAGTGTGTGTGGAACAYATAGTATAATAGTTCCACAAAATGTGTCACTGAAAGAAAATTTCTGCTAYATATTTGAATCTTCTGTATGATTCAACTTTTAAAATGATAGCCTRTATCTCATTTTTATTGTAGGCTTACCACAAAGCTAATGGTGAGCGGTGCATGTACCTCTCAGAAATCTTACAGGTAAGAAGAATGTGTGACAATAACTTTTAATGCTTTCTTAACATAACAACAGCATCTGTTAATTCYATTAGATCAGGGTGTTTTATACCAAACATGTAACAAAAGCTGCTTTTTAAAAATTGTAAGAGCCATAAATTGAAAGATCACTACAGTTTATGTATTTTAAATACTTTTTTTGCTTTTGTATCAGTTGGAGTTTTAGTGCTCCCTTGCATAGTCAAAGTGCCCTTAACTGAAAAAGCTGAAACAATTTTCCAATTCTTGGCCATCCATAGTCGCAAGACTGCTACACAGTTGAACAGAACAGAAGCAGATTATAAGCAGTAATAATACTCCTTTTAAGTAGTAATTCCTCCTTTTCGTATGTCTCCTTTMTTCTTTCAAAGATAAACTATCCATGCAGTTCAGAATGTAATACAACACATATTTCCATTAACTTTGTAAAATAGGGAWAAGACATCTTGCTTTGGTGAAATCACAGGTTAAGTTTTATTGCTGCAAATTATGTAATACATATAATTTGATACTACAAACTGGAGGAACTGTAAAGGAATCTGTAAAGAATTATAGTACTTATTCTGGAAAAGCTCTAAATTCCTGAATAATGTGAAAGTAATAGCTTAGTGTGATATTCAAGAATAGCTGTCACTGAATCCCTTTCATAGCTAACTGGGGTAAAAGTCTGTAATTAGCACTGTTTCCATGTGTTTGCACAGTGGGCAACTGATTCCTTTATATGGTTCATTGCTACTTTGGGAAATCTGAAAGTATTGCTTAAATGAACTTTCCAGCATGAAACCAAGAAAAAGCCCAGGAAATGCCCAAGGTAACTGTTAATATCTTTGCATTAAAAGTGAAATTGAGAACTTACGGAGGAAGAAGGTAGGAAACAAAAGCAGATTTTATTACTGAACATGCTAGCAAGAGGAGTGCCTGTGTTCAGCTCCCTATAAAAACACTAAAATATGGATAAAAGAYCATTTGAAGTGAGGTATATGCACTCGCATGTCGCATAATGGGGCMCTGGGGACTAGAATTTTGCAATCAACACTCGAGGTTGTGTATTRTATTTTCAGCAATTAATTATTTACTCACATGATTTCAGGATCATATGAGAGCAAAATARTCATCTTGAGATTAATATTCCTGTCTTTAGTTCTCTAAATGTTAAATAGCCATTCTAAAATAGTTGTAGGTGAATCCTCTGTGATCTATGGAGAGAGAACCGTGTCTAAAGTGCAAAGCATCACATCTGTATTAGGTTAGATGAAATTAATTTCCCAAGGACTTTTCTGTCCCTCCTCCTGAGCTCTATGCAGAGCCTAAGGGAGTAGTTTAGATTAAACATCTACCTTGTACATTGCTAATGTGAGCATGGCAGTCACCCTAACTGCACTGGGGCAGTCCCCACAGCTCAGCTACCGTGTGCTGTTTTGAGCACCTCAATATTACAAGGGTACCAAACTACTCAAGCGCATCCAAGGGATATGAACAATGTGGTGAAARGCCTCAAGGGCAGATTTATGAGGAGCAGCTGAGGTCACTTAGTTGGTTCATCTTGAATGAGAGAAGGCTGAGGGGGTGACCTCATTGCCCAGCAGTGACCTCATTATCTGCTGCACCTTCCTCCAGGGGAGCAGGAGAGGCAAAGGTGCTGATCTCATCTCTGTGATGACCAGTGATAGGACATGAGGAAAGGGAATGAAGATGCATCAGGGGAAGTGCAGATTGAACATTAGGAAAACAGGTTTCATTGAAAGGGTGGTCAATCACTGGATCATGATCCCCAAAGAATTGGTCATGGCACCAAGCCTGTCAAACTTCAAGGAGCAACTGGATGACACTCTTTAGYTTTAGGTATCCTGCAAGGAACAGGAAGTTGGACTTGATGATCCTTATGGGTCCCTTCCAACTTGTGATATTCTATGATTCTGTAGTTTTCTGTTGATTTCAAAAGAATCAGTGGTTTATTTGTTCCCTTCAGGTGTACTTCTGCTATGACTTTGATTTGACTTTTATATTAATTTAAAATCTGCATATGTATGCCCTCCCTTTTAACAGTTCATTTTAATGATAGAGGCAGAGGTAAACTTACATTCAGTCTGGACTTTCAGCTTTATTTAAATGTCAGTGTTCTAGAGTCTGCACACCATTATTGGCTGCTGTCGAGTTAGAAGGATTTTCCCATAGGGTACCATTTTGATACCTTGCAAATATACCATGGGGTATTGCTATCCTGTGACAACAATATATGTATTGTAGTGACACTCTCTGATCTACAGAGAATGGATATAGTGTTGTTTTAAGCCATTCTTTTCCCTCATTATGTATCTAATTTTCTACAGTTCACAGTAATAAAAAAAAAAACTTAAAAATCATAGAATGGAAGTGCTTTACTGGTAAGTATTAAAAAATCCCATGTGTCTTAGGTTTTTTCTGCTTTGTTTTGGATCCCTCCTGCAGCCTGTGGTAGAAGCAGAAGAGAGAGATGCTTCTGAGCAGTCATTTCTTTTATTTATCTTTTTATTATTGAGTGCCTTTCTGATTTTTTTTTTAATACTTGCAACACGTATTTATCTTCTGAGTGCTTTTGATGTTTATCTTGTCTGGTCCATATGGATATAGTCATAAGGATATCATTTTAAATGATACTTTTAAAATAAATTTTAAAATTCTCAATCTTGAGAACTCCTGGTAGAGGCACCAATGGTTTATGGTGTATTCTTGTTTGCTTTTTCTGTTTCAATTTCAATTTGACAAAATATTGATTTGGGATTTGGACTCCACAAATCTTGAAGGTGCGTTTTGGTGGCATTCAGAAATCAGTTTGAGAGGCAAGCAAAGAAGAACTATAGTTGTTCTTGAAAAAGGCCATTCTTTCAGGCCAGATTTTTGCCACAAACTGTTACTAGCATAGTGGAATCCGATTTGGAACTGGGATTTCTTTGCAGAAAAGGTGCAGGGTTATAGACTGCTACAGCTGGAAAGCTGCTTGTGCAACAATGGATGATTTTAGTTGGGATAGGCGTGGAAAAAAACAGTGCTATGGATAATAATCTTGTATACTGGCAGCGTGTATTCATATAAATGCAAAAACAGTGAAGGCAGACTTGGCATTGCTCTTGCCTCTTGTGCTGCACAATCACATCTGCTCAGATATGATAAGATGATATATTATACTAGCCATCACCTTTAATACTGGAGTTTGTCAAGTACAAAAATTTCTTACCTTTACAAAAGTAGATCTGTGCAAATCCTATTTACTTCTGTGATTGTGGTTAGTATTTAACTTGTTTTGTAAAAATTTGGCAATTGCAGACCACTGCTGAACTTAAAATTGTTGAAAGACAAAAACCAGATGCTCTGACTGGCAAGGGAGAAAAACAGGTACCAAGGTAAATTTCTTTTATATTCCCTGTTTTCTGTTTTATTATTTTTGGCTAAGTACTATGTTTTGAACATTTGCAACTTTCAGAGCATAATCCAGCTAGCAAAGTATTATTAATGTAATTTTTGATAGTTCTTTTCAATCAGTTTTKTTTCATGCCAAATATGTTGCAATGTTGAAAATGCATGTGTTTACATAACTGTTTAATAGATTTAGTTTAGTTATATAGGTTAGAAATACAAATTTGAGAAGAGTCCACCTGTTCTGAGCTTTATAGAAATAAAATTAATTTCTGATTGTAATGATTGTGGATAAGCTTGAAATTGGAGATTGATTTTTTAACTGAACTGAATATGTTAAGAATATAAAGTGTGAAGAATACAGGGACTCATATCAAAAGTTTGTTGGACCCAGTAATCTGCCTCCAGTGGCCATAAACAGATGCTTACAAAAGTGTGGAACCAAGCAGATAGAATACTTGATTTTGGAACTCTCCCAAATAATTTATATTTGGAGGCATCCTAAGCTAGTATGATTCCTATGTATTTAGTGTCTCACAGTAAATACTCTTCCACAAACCCACTTACCTATATCATTAAAATAAGTATATACAATATGTTTTGGGATCATTGAAAAATGTAAAGAGTAAATTATGAACATGAGAGCTGGAACAAAGAATATGTCAATCCCAGGAACACTAGTGAGCCCTAGGTTTTGTTGGCTCTTTGCCTATAAATTTGAATCTTGCACAGATACCACCATCATGGCTTCTATGACATATCTGGGTATTGTGATAAATATAATTGAGATATATTTTCCTTCCAAATGCCTTTGCTTGAGAGAAACACTGAAGCTCTGTATATCTTTGTTAGAGTATGTAAAGTGCTGTCTGTCTCTGCAGTAATGAACAGGAAGGGAAGCAAAGGTACATTGCATAGGAGCAGAGATGCAGGCGTCTTGGTGGGTAGAAGGACCCTTCCAGTTTGGGAAAGAACCGTTCTTTCCCTGGAGATTTTTTTACTTCTTTCAAGATCAAGATGAAGCTCTAGCTGGTTTTGTGTAGATGGTGTATGTATCCATGATGAGTACCACTTCAAAAGTCTGCTGGCAGCATCTCCTGCAGGCATTTCTGGTGATCAYAGGCTCAAGAGCCTGGGTCTCCAGAGTGGAATTGCTGCAGAGAACAATAACTACATCTACCTGTAGTGCTCTTCCGTTTTCTGATGGGGATTCTTTAACTGATGAAAATGTCTCTGTAGCCAGTATCGCTCTCCTAGTGCAATATTTAGTATTCCACTCATGTTCTTCAAATTACATCACTTAGGTAACAGGAATCACAAGATGAAGATTGTGTTTGCAGAATTATTAGATGCTCTGCTAACCTGTGAACCTAGAAATATACTTGATTTTTTTTCCTCTCTCAGGTTTACTAATTCACTCTAGGAATCAGATATGCAAATCTAGAAAGCTTGCACATTTTTTAGCAGTTAACACTTACAGGGAATGTGACATTTGCTAACTTTACCCATTTTATTTCAGAGGAAAACACAGTGTTCCAGGAATCCTGAAGATGGTTCATCCTCAAAAACAATGAAGTAATAAGACTTTAGGAGGGAACCAGCTTCCACAACTAAAGACCTGATTTAATACTAATATCAAGAACTTTCAGTCACTTTTAAAAAAATTTAACTTAACTGAAAKTTTCTAAATTGAAAATGAAAGTATTTGTGTCTTATTGCAATGCCAGACCCAGACTGGAATGTCTTCTTGGCTGCCTTAGTGTCAGTGTTCCTCTGCCTAATGGAATTGCTCTTCTGGTTGCCMTCTTTGTAGTGATTATTTCTGACCCTTTCCATTCTGGTTCTCATCAGTGATTCTGGGTGCGAGGGTGTTGGAAGACTTGGAGAATATTTAATGTATTTGTACACGGTCCAGATCCTTTAACTATCTGACTGCACAAAAGCCATGGAAAACAAATCCTCTAGCATTTTTGACCTCTCTGCCAAGAAGAAGAAAAAGGTAGACTGATGTAACCCCGAAGAATTGTCTTTATATTACTTTTTTTAAAAGCTGGCTTGCCACAGATCCTAGATTGACTAYCCCTTTCTGTATGCATGGTTTAGGAGCACAGCACCATTTCCATCTGCATGGTTTAGAAACACAACACCATTTCCAGCTGCTTTGCACACTAGTAATGGATAGAAATGACAGGAAAATTGAGCACTTTTTATTAAGRAATCTTCAGAGCTTATCTTGTGGAGGAATTGTTTCTTTTAAACACTACATATGTATTATGCTTCCACATATTGGTATATTGTTCTTTGAAATTTGAACTCTCAGCTGAACCCTTGTATCCACAGTCTGGGTTCCATAAAAATCTGACTTCTTTAATAGCATTTATCCTTGTGCTTTTAGGGTACAAAATACTGCCAGCCCTAAAAGTAATCTCTTCAGTGAAAGAGGAACTATTTTGTCTTTTCATTCTTAACCATGCAATTATTATTGCAGTTTTACTACCTATATTTTAGTCATTAAAGTTGGGGAGAATTTTTTCAAGTGGCAATGGGAAAAATGTTTTGGTAATGAAGCCTCAAGCCTCTGTGTTACATCTTAAAAGCTCTTGGCAGAGCAAATGTGGTTGCTTGACTGCCCTTTATTATTTTAAGAGCATTCCTAGCTCTTTGCAGTAAAGTTTTTTGCCTCTTTAAGAGCAGTATTAATAGTTCCTTATTACTGGCAGCATTAAAGTGACACTCTAATTAAACTCATAGAAAAAGACACACCAATTTAAATGACAATGATGTCATTCTAAAATGCAAAGAGAAAAGACCTGTAGCATGGTACAGCATATTCAGTTTGGAAACCCCATTTTCTTCTCTTACGTAGTATGAAATTCATTACAGAAATTTGGCATGTTACCATGATGCATGTGGTATCGTTCTTTCATAAGAAGGGTGGTCTGCCTGTCCAGTTTTTCTCTCACAGCATAGCATAGCTGGTTAGGTTAGCATTCTTCCCTTTATGTTTTTCACATGAAAAATTTCCAAATTTTGATTGTGCTGACATTKGTCATTGTGGAGAAGGAGAGGGGGAAAACCATGGTAATATTTCTATTAGCATAAAAGACAAGAGACATCTTGTCATGAAGAAGATCCAATTCTTGGATTCGTGCAGCAAACATTTCCTACTGCTGTCTTTGAATCAAATGGTAGTCAGTGAACTCAAGTCTGGTCCTTGTAGCACCTCAGAATAATTGGAAACATTGCACAAATATGGCAGAACACCTTTTCACAACAGGAGACTTGGATGCTTCCCTCAAGGATAGTCCTCACTGAGGRTTTAAAAAGAGACTTTTTTCGAAGCCTAAAAAATAGACATTTATTGGTACCATAATGTCCTGGGAGAAGAACAGACTATGTCCTGTTTAGTCCCTGGTACCATAATGACCTGGGAGAATAGCAGACTATGTCCTGTTTAGTCCCTGGTACCATAATGACCTGGGAGAAGAGCAGACTATGTCCTGTTTAGTCCCTGCTTCAGCTTGCTGGGAGCAATCTCAGGATTGGAAACTCAGAGGTATGATAATTAATTGCTAAAACATGTGTTTGACCTTTTTAATTGTATGTCCAGCTGTAATGTGTGCTGTACAAAATGTTTATAGTTCTTTACTCGCACTCTTTGAGTAACTTGGCATCCTGTCTTCCGGTACATAAGGACGACCCTGATGATTAAGTTTGGTTACAACTCTAGTTTCTTTGCAAGGGCAAAGGTAGTTTWTGGTTTCAAAGTGTCTCTTTGGACTTGAATAAAACTTTTACATTATTAGCTTTCCCAAAACATGTAGGAATTTTTTTTGTTTGATTTGGTGGCTTTGGGTGGATGAGTGTTTTGAAATTCCTGCATTTATCTTGTGTGGGCTTTTTTTACTGCTGTTTTGTTGTCCTTTGAAATGTGATTTGTTGACATTTGCTGCAATGAACAGTTATATGGCTTTATAGAATATCTTCCATACTAATATTTCAGCACATTTAAGATTAATTACTCCTTCAAAGCATAGTATGTAATGTTATTTTAGGCCTAGAAGACAGAATCACCGAGCTAGGTTTATTTAAAGTAGCTGTGAGAGTGTAGTGATGTCTGGGTTTCTCCTGATTTCACAACAGGGTGATCTTTTGTGATGCTGCCAGCCATTTCAAGATAGTCTGTCTCCTCTAAAGTCTGTGCATTATACATGACACTGAAGGAATCTGAAAACAAAAATGGGAAACTGAATTGCTGACAGTTGTGGTCAGTGACTGAATGGTGCTTAACATCAGAGGAAGACAGGATCAGAGGTGAAAATTTGAGTCTGGCCAAACTTCCTCCTGCAGCATAGACTGTACTTGGGATTCCAGATATATTGGTTGTAATGTGTAAGTGCGTTTAACTGAGACAGAGGTAAATTTGCTGTCCTAACTSAACACTTGAGAGTATACTTCCTTTACATAGGTACTCATGTAATTCCACTCATTTCAGATCAGCCATGATTTTGAGGTAATTAAGGCATTTTAAGTATTTTCCCACATTGTTTCTGGAAAATATAAATATAAAAATTCAAATGCTGGTATTTTTTATTGCCCACTTTTTTTTTTCTTTTAAAGTCTCATGATTTAAGATGGTATTGGTCATAATATTTGTATTTAATGAATCAGTATAGCTCCAGTGTACCCCTCTATGACAGAATACGATTGAAATGTTTCTTAGACAAGCATTGGCTGTGTGGCTGATTATTATGTAATTATGCAGCATAACCACAGGCTCCAGAAAACTGGGGTGATGARCTTCCTCATGTTCAGGATATCATTAGTAATAAGCAAAATATTTCTTTGCTTAAATACTTTGTTTAATGGGTTCTCTGTATTTAAACTGACTAGGTGGTACAGCTCACAGTTTCCTTGATTCCATCGCCACTGGTAAAGATGGGGTGCATAATTTAGYCTTAATACATTTCCAGTAGAGGAAGACAGT